TGAGCTTTATTTTGAGGATTACTTGTCATTGATCATTTAAGGCACATGGATGTGTGTTTGTTTGGCTATGGATGACACACTCATAATATTTACCTCCTCCAACCCACGTGACTGCTTCTGATGCCTTGCTGATAACACCAAGGCTCCTTCCTGATTCCTAAACATGATGTGTGTCCTGTGGCATTGATCTTACCCATGTCTTCAGATACTGTAGGCAGTGGTTGCACATGCCTTTAATCTTAGCACATGGTTGGCAGAGGTAGGCAGATCTCTTGATTTCAAGGCTAGCCTAGTCTACAGTGCTAGTTCCAGGACAGCCAGAGCTATCCAAAGAAACCTTGTCTCAAAAAAACAAAACAAAAACACCCAAACCTTAGGATCTCATTCGTATCTCCTTTCTTCTGCCCCTGAAATGACAGTCTCAGCTGATGTGCAGTGTATTACAGACTTAGGCTGATGGAGGACACTCACCTTGACAGAGCTCTGCTTGGCCACATATATTAACAGTATCTTCAACATTGAATTGGACATTGTTACAGAAATGGTGGCATTTTTGGGATCTTGAGGCAGCCGACCTCCAATCACTGGTACTGTTCTTTTGCCAAAATTGGCTCCAACCTAAGGAGAGAAAAGTAGAAAAACATCTATGTGGTTCAGGAGACTAGAAGAAGAGGGATGGCCTTGTAGTGTCGCTCTTACAGTGTAGGGTGAAGTTGCCTTAGCTTATTTCCAGTGGCACTGTAACAGGGCTCAGGGCAGCCAGGCTTTCCTGAGACATCATGAATCCTTGCCTAAAGGTGAGACAGCATTTTTGATGGAGTTCAAGAAGGTGTGTGTGTGTGTGTGTGTGTGTGTGTGTGTGTGTGTGTGTGTTTAATAGTTGCATCCTCTTTTTCCAGAACTTTCCCCCTCAGTGGTTCCTCCCTCTTTTCTTCCTCTGCACTTCCCTTCCTTCCATGATTCGTAAACCGTCGAAGACATATGTATATATGTATAAGTTCTTAGATATTAAAGCTAATATTGGGTATTTCCTGTGTCTGCTTTTCTGTCCGTTTCATTCTTTATTTTTGTGTGCATTCTCCCATTATATTTCTCAAGTATTTTCTGTATGTGAAAGGGATGTTGGACCATTCAGTGAGGAATACAGTGAAGAGAGACTTATGCAGACTTCACTGGTGTTTCCTCTTGTCCTGTGCATACCTCCATTCCCTTTTCTTGACTTTAGAGTGACTATTAGTATCTGGAAAGCATGGCTATATGTTTCCACATGTGATGCGTGTAGAAGGATCTGACCCTCAGTCCTTTGTGTATGTTGTAGGATGTTGATGAACGTCATCCTGGATGTGCATGGGTTTGTGCTTCAGCCTCTGAGTGCAGCTTTTTTGCTGGATTTCCAGAGGGGAAGCTGAGCTAGTCATGTCCCCTCTCTTCATCACTTGTCACACCCTGGTTTTGCGTTCCTGTTTGGGGAGTGGGTGGTTGGCAGGAGATGGCTTTTTGTTTAGATGTGTGTTCTCTACTGGGAGTGGAGACCTCAGCTGGGACAAGTTATGGTTCTGTCAGTTGGAGTGCCTGACAGACTGTCATCCTGTGCAATTGAGTGGAGAGGAGCACTAGCGTGACCATGCCCCGATGGACACTCTGGAGACTGATCCCAGTATCAGATGAGGGGTCAGAAAGAGCTGATCATTTCTCTGTCCTGACATTTTAACCTCTTGTGTGCTTCCAGGTATGCCTCCACCCTGCATCCAGTTTCATTGCAAAGACAGTGCCTACTTACACAGTAGAGGATGGAAAGTCCTTTGGGAGAAATCCTGGCACCTTGAACCTTGTACTTGAATAAGCCGGTAGCTGTGGAGGAGAGGAGGAGGAATGGTGAGAACCCACACTGCCACTGATGGCTGTTGGGTCCCAAACTGTACCTGTGGTCTCTCTCTAGACACCAGTATGGACAGCTGCATCTGTCTGCTTGCCAGACTCAAGATGTTGCTCTGAATATCTTCCATATCTCAAAGGATGCTCTGAGCTTCGGGTTTACCCGCACAGAATTATTTTCTTATCTGATGTGCCCCAATCTCTTTGAAGAAGGAAACAGTGGTATGTACACTATATATTTTGTCTATGGTGGGACTTGAGAAATAAGTCCAGTTTCTTCCTTCACCTCCCTGGGTTGTTCAACCCAATATTTCCTCCCAACTTGGCTTTTGGCATGTTTATTGAGTTATTGTAGGATGTCCTCATCTCAGGACTCCAAAGACAATGTCCTTGGACAGCACTTGATTCAGACTTTATGTAGTGTTTCATTGGAAGGTATTTGGGTTGGGAAGCTCTGTGCAGCCCCCACAGGCACTGTCTTCTAATTGTTTCCTTGATTCAGAAGTCAAGTACCTTGAACAAAAGGTCAGTTGGACCACTGTCCTTCCTCTGTGTGCATAGTAGTGTGTGAGGGTCCTTGTAGTTTTGGAGTGTGATATCCCAGAGTCCCTTCTTCTATGGTATATCATCCTATGAAATCCCCCATGGTCTGTGAACCACTTTAGTACGTTGACAAGAGAACAACCAGAAAGGACTCACCATTCTTGCAGTTATTAAAGTCCTTGAGAACAATGGCACAGGAGTTGGATTTCTCCAGCTGTGAAGTCACCACAGGTTAGCTTAGCTGAGGGAGCATCAGGAGCCTGTTTAATCTGCCTTCCTCCTCCCCTGCTCTCCTGGGCTTCCCCTTTCCTGTGCTATTTCCCTGAACTCTTTTGGTAGAAGTTATTACTGTTCCCAAATCTCATCTTCTCTAGTTCTGCTGGTAGACATGTGGTCAGGGGAGCTGCTTGTCCATGATGGCCTTTCTGCTCTGAGGTTCCCCGGTCTTGATTTAAATCTGTCCTAGCAGCAGGCCATTTACAAATTTCAGTTTTCTCCTCCAGTTATCAGTGATTCAGGTCTGTGAGTGAACCCCACCCCTTCCCTGGACTTACGTTCTCATTCATCTCTGCTGAGAGCACTATTGGGACGACATCATTCAATGGCAGAGGTATGGGGAGAGGCACAGTTCCTGTGACTCTGTGGAAGATAGACATGTTGAAAGTAGTGATCGTCATGTTTCTAGATTGGTGTATGTCTTAGTTACAGCGCCTCACTGATGAAGGAGTCAGGATGATGTTTGGTTTCTCTTTGTGTCTGTAAATCCTGAGCTCTTGCCTTGACCTTTGGTCTTTAAGGAAGATGCAAAGATACCTGGCCTAAGCACAGGAAACCTGGCCCTGAGGTCCCCAGAATGGATTCATGCTTCAGACACTGGAGCACAATTGTCCATAGACCAGCCTGTGGTCTTGGCGTAGCTGTGGATCTGAATTCACAGCTGGCTAAATTCTAGCTAGAGAAATTATAATGATGTCCTGTGTAGGGCATAGCTGATGGAAGGAAAGGATGTCAATGCTGGTATGTGTGGGTGAGAAGCATCTCCATGTTCCTCGTGTGAACCAAGTCAGAGGGAGGCAGCTGGCACAGAGAGTGGCAGAGAGATTGTCACTTTCACTGTATGGCCTCATGGTTCTTTCTCCATTTTGACTCAGGTCAGTGCACTGTTTAGGGAAAATCCAAGATGAGTCTCTTAAATAGAGCAAGAAGGAAAGATACAAGGTCATGTGAGAAGGTTGTTCTTAAACACAGCAGAACATTGCTCGTCAGCTCTCCTGGCATTTCCTGATTGTCCTGTGTACTATGGTGGACCAGCAGTCCGCTGGGACAGCAGGAAGGCCACTGTGACACACATTTGGATTGCATTGATGGAGTAGAAAGGAGGAGGGGTTGTACTTACGTCTCAATTAACTGAATGTGCATTTCGTTAACCTGGATGTGGGTGTCTTGGATGTCAATGTTGACACACTGAGTGTTGTTGGAGGAAATAGCAATTTTCATTGTCACTTCCAGGATGGATTCAAATTGCAGTGCACTGACGACAGGTCCAAGTGCTCTGTGGAGAGGAATGTGAGGCGAATGAAATTCTGGCTGAGACCTGAGGCTCCAGGGCAGAGAAAGGTATTAGGGACTGTCCTCCCGATGTGGTGAAGGTCATCCTCTAGAGGGAAGAACTGTTTTCCAGTCCCTGTGCTCTAGGGCCTCAGTCCTATGCCAGAGAGTGAAGAGTGTGGTCATTTAGGCAGTTAATGTTTGATGAATAATTGTCCTACCTAGCCTTAAGGAGGTGCCTGTTGTTGGCACAGGGTGTCAGTTTTAAGTTCACCTTCAAACCTAGCACTTAGGCCTTCTGAGTTGTGTGGAAATACATAAGAGAAACGTGGCAGGGTAAGCCAGAACTTGTTACCATTGGAAATTCTGTACAGGGACAATTTTGTATGTGTGTGTTTGTATATACTTAAACATACGTATGTACATGTATAAAATATAACATACATAAGTAGGTATGTATATTTGTGGATGTGATTTTTTTTTTTCCTGAGGGAAGTTGCCCTCTGTAAGGAAGTCTTGCTGGGAATAGCTGATCTTCTTTTCTCTCTGTGTGTCCTTATCCTTGGGCTGTAGGATAGGGGCCTGCATCCTCATCCCTGGTGACCCAGCAATCATCTGGAAACATGCTCACCCTTTTCCGCCTATGGTGGCAGTGACTGTGGAGTGGACGTGGATCTCATCAGCTGCCATGGTTATGTCCGTGCTGTCCACTGTTACTTCATCCACCTCTAATCTGCAGAGGGACAACACAGACTCAGTTCTGCTTCCTGGAAACAGCCCACCCCTCATGAGAAATACCTGTGGGGAAGGCGGCTCGCCACCTACTAAACTCTGCTGCTCCTATGCCCCTGAACTGTGCTTCCCAACCAGATTTTTGCGCTCAAGACATCCTGGCAATACTTTACAGAGATTCCAGTGCGAGTAAGCATGTCTTCTGTGAAAGTGGCTGTCACTATGGTTGTTGTATGTTGAGTGTAAGTGTCCCAGTGAACATCTTGTTCTTCCAGAGACCCCGAGAATTGTCAAAGAAGCACTTACTCAAGCAAAAGCTCTTTGATGTTTATGTTGAGTAGATCTGAAACTGGGTCTTTGAGGTCACTGGGGAGCATTTCCTTCACCTTGGCCTCGACAGAGTCTTTTATATTGTCTACATTTTCAACCATGTCATGCAGAGGCTTCCCGATACTGGAGAGTCCCTCTCCCTTCAGGAGACCTTTCCCAGAGCCCTTGTCTCCCCCAAGATTCAGTAAGCTGTCCAGGCCACCACTGCCCCCTGGGAGTAGCTGGGCGAGCCCTCCAGTGGCCTTGGACCCTGAAGAGGGCTTTGAGGAATCCTCATTCCCTTCTTTGCCTTTGCCTAGGAGACCATCTAGGCCAAGACCACCTGCCCCTTTCAGGAGGGAAGTGGGATCTAAGAGTGAGAGCAGGTCAGAGTTGTCCAGTGTGGCTAACAGTGTCCCGAGCACGCCTGCCATATTAACGTCATCACACTTCACAATGTCCTCGATCTGTGGGGGCAGCTTGTTCATGAGATCTGAAAAAGATCAAGAGACAATCGTGCTTTGGTTTTCTATTCAGTTCATCCTAGCACTCTCCTTTCTGGAAGGCGACATCTTGAAATTTGGGGCACATGGCCACTCAGAATTCTGCCTTCCAGGTTCCTTGTGCTGCCCCTGCCCTAGTTAAGAATAGCCCTCTGTTGCTAGACAGATGGCTCAGAGTTCAAGAGCAGGGCCAGATTCTGAATTTGGTGTTTCCTTGTTCTGAAAACCAGGCTGAGGCAGTCTACACCAGTTTGGAGCCCAGCAAGGAGGAACCATGTGGTGTGACAGAGTCTGCATGTAGGTGGTAAGAATTCACCGGAGTCAGACATTTCCCTTGACCAGGGTGACATCGGCCTGCCCTGAACTTACACTTGGGTGTATCATGTCAATGCAGGTTGAGGCCTTACCTGAGTTTGACTTTCTGGGTCCATATATTTTCTACTGCTGTCTTGTGTAGTCACACCTTCTTGGTTTTATCCCACATAAAATATAGTCCCTCTTTTGTTTCAGTGCTGATGTTGTACATAGGAGTTGACTATGTTATACCATTGCTCTAACACTGAGCTATGTCTTCAGTTCTCTGGTAGTTTCCCATTCCCCACTTTAGAAATGTCAAGTTGAATCCTAGATCCAATCTCAGGTATCTTATGAGTAGCTTCCCAAAGGATCACCAGCCTACAATTCACACTGCCAGAGAAACTAGGATACAGGGAGGAACCTAAGAGATTCATTCAAGGTCCTTCACAGAAGGGGAAAGGGACAAGATCTCCTGAGCATATTGGGAGTGGGGGCGGGCAGTGAGTAGAGAGGGAGCTAGGAGAAAGACAAGGGTAAGAGAGGAGAACGTGTGGGACTAGGAAGATCGAGTAGGGGGATGACTAGATGAGAGCAAAAAATGAGATACCGTAATAGAGGGAGCCATTATAGGTTTGAAGAGAAAACTGACTCTAGAGAAATGTCCAGAGACCTACAAGGATGACCCCCAACTAACAATCTGAGCAACAGTAGGGAGGCTACCTTCAATGCCCTTCCCTGATAATGAGATTGATAACTAACTTATATGGCATTCTGGAATCTTCATCTAGTAACTGTTGGAAAGAGAAGTACACACCTACAGCTAAACACTGAACCAAATTCCTAGAATTCAGTTGCAGAGGAGGAGGAGTGATAAGAAAATGGGTCAAGACCAGGCTTCAGAAACCCACAGAGACAGCTGACCTGAACAAGTGGGAGCTCATGGACCCCCAGAGTGGTAGCTGGGAAACCATCATTGGACTGACTCAGACCCTCTGACATGGGTCTCAGTTAGAAGGCCTGGGTAATCTAAGGAACCTCTGATAGTGGAACCAGGATGTATCCATGGTGCATTAAAGGACTTTGGGAGCACATTCCCTATGGAGGGATACTCCCTTAGCCTAGACAGGAGAGAGGGCCTGGACCCTACTCCAAATGACTTGACAGATTTTGATGATCCCTTCTGGAAGGCCTCACACTCTCTGTGGGATTGTGGGGAATGGGACAGGAAGGTGGTCAGGAGGGATTGGAGGGAGAGAGGGAGAGGAAACTGGGATCAATATGTAAAATAAGAAAAAATAAAAAAATAGTATAAATAATAAAAAAAGAATTATGACTGAAAACAAAGGAAAGCAAGAAAAGCTTCTTCATCTCTTTGAGCTGTTGGATGATCTGGATTCAGACCTTTGCTGTACCAGAATTTTTACATATGACCGAAGCTCCCTTCTCTGTCTAGGCACAAGCAGCTGCCACAGGATCTCCAGGTTGGGAAACCACTTATTTAGAGGGTTGACTGAACCTGCTCTGAGATCACCAATGTGCAGGCTATGGAAGGTGTAGACAGGACCTAAGAAGACAGCTGAAATGAATCTTACTTACAGTCATGGAGTTTGCCACTGGAGAGGAAGTATCTGGCTGCAGGCGCACACTTGCCACCCTTGGAGGCAGCTGGATGCTTTTTGGAAGGCGAGCCTTGCTTGTTGGTGGAACCTTTGAGGTGTGGTGGTGCTGGCAGGTTAAGAGGAAGGGTGTTCACATTGGGCACAGCAACGGGGAGATTGCTCACCCCTGGAGGTGTTTCTACCAGGTCAAGTGTTCCTGCTTGGATGCTCAACGTGATGACCAAGGCCCGGAGAGCCCACATTGCTATGGCTGACACCTGCAGAAGAGAAATGGGTCACACATCACATTCACCATGGACCTAGAGCTGTCATGTAACTCTGTGCAGGTGACTCCCTGTCTCTCAGAAGAGCTTCTTTTTCACTTTATTGACACCCTAGTTTGTCCTCTGCTCATGGGAACATGGTCTGATATATGCCTGTTAACATATTCTTATTACTGTTTGTACCATGGGCAATTGTGCTGTCAGTATTGGCTGTAACATGTCAATGTGGGTGAGCCCTGACCTGAGGTCTGACTTCCTGGGTTCATGTATATTCTCCTTCTAACTTGTGTAGTCACATGTCCTTTATGTTACCCCACATATAATTTCTCCTCCTCTTTTATTTTTCAGTGCTGATATTGTATGCAAGGCTTGACTGTGTTCTATCATTGCTCCAAAACTACTCCAAAACTAAGCTATGTCCTTGGGCCCCTGGTAGTTTCCCAGTTCCCATTTTAGACATGTCAAGTTTGAGTCCTTAACTCCAAACTTGGCCTCTGCCCCTAAGTTAAGCTTCTTACTGAGTAGCTGGTATTGGACTTTTCCTGAGAGGTCTTATAGAATTGTGTAGTGAGATATTCACTTTGTCTGCACCCGTGGCACTGACCACGCCCATTGGGGTGGGTACAGGGGTGGGTGTTATCTGGGGGAACTAGGGGGAAGGGGCCCTGGAATGCCCTCTTCTTTGCTGCATGGGGATAGAGGAGCATTCTGAGGCATCCTTGGGACCTGGAACCTGCTGGTGCTCATCTGACTCTGTTGTAAGTTATTTTTCCCTGAATAAATATGTATTCATCCTGATTTTCCTTTTTCATTAGCATTAAGAAAGTTTAATGTTAATAAAGTATTAAATTGTGCCTGTAAAGCTAGACATCAGGTGCTGTTTTTACCTCAGTTTCCCGTGTCAATTGGGTGGTGTACCCCACTCATGGTGGAGCTGTGGTTTGCTGTTGACGCCTGACAATCATTTCCCATCTGACCTTCTCAGATTTCTTGCTTATGCTTATTCTCTAGATGTTTTGTCTCTGACGGCTACCTTGATGTATCTTTTTTACGTTTGAGACAGGGTCTTACTCTTAGTCCTGACTTTCCTGAAGCTCGCTTTCTCGTTCAGAGAAAGCGTTGCCTCTGTCCCACGATTATTGGGATCCAATCTATACACCACCATGCCTGGTCTGCCTTCAAATCTTTCAGTTACATTTATGTATTTATTGCAAGTCATGTGTGTAAATCACAGGACAACTTGATGGAGTTATTCCTTCCTTCTGTCGTGTGGTTCTAGGGATGACACTGAAGTCATCAGGCTTGGTGGCATACCTTTACCAGCTGAGTGATTTCACTGTCCCACTGTAACATGTAGAACGGTGCTGCACATGTGTTCCTGACATTTCCCCCTAACATGTGAGTTGCCCTGTTGGCATTTCTTCCCTCTTGTCCTCCTTCACCTGTCAGGGTTTGTAAAATTGGTGTGTGGGTCTTTGCTGTGACCTATAAAAAAGTTGTCATTGGGTCACTTCTGTCAAATGCTCACCCCACAATAAGTAAGTGCAATTTGCTTTATGACAGAGGGGACCCTGTGCATGTGTTCCCGATAGCAGGGACCATTTGTTAAGACTTCAGCTATAACCTCTACTTTACAGACACACCACTGCGGCCTCACCCTCAGAGGTTCATGTGATATGCCTGCCCAGCAAGCGCTTCCTCCACCTGTGACTGCTACCACTTTAGTAATTACTTGATATTGTTTTAGACTCTCATCTGTAACCCCTCCCCTCTCTGCCTTTAAATCTTTCCATGTTGTCCTTTCTGCATACTCCCATAGTCTACAGTAGCTGAGTGTTCCCAGAGCTGAGCTAGGCTATGTGTGTACATTTGGTGATTCTTAGAGGCTAATGGTGATGGTTTAGGTTGGCACCATGTATACCTACTTTGAAAGGTAAACCCTCTGCTGCCATTACCATCAGAAAGCGGTGGTTCCAGTAAACTGAAGCCAGTGGCAGTTCTTGCATCACATAAATTGCCTTATTGAAAAGTAAACCTCACCACATTTCTACCATACTTTCCCCTTCCCTCTCTGACCTCTGGGAAATCTAAACAGCATGTCATTAATCTAAACACTCTCTCAGGAAGAGCAAGGTATATGTGCCTGTTAAGGAGTTCATGGCTATGCTGACTTAGTGGACCTCTCAGAGAGTTTGAGCAGTCAGTCTCCTGTTTTCTGAAGAGAACATTCTTCCAATTGGTCTTGCTCTCCCCTGTTTCACTTTAGGCTCAGTGTCCTGCAGTTCAGCAGCCCAGGAACATTTTAGATGATCAGTGAGTAAGCCCTAGTCATCTGTCCAGAGGTGACCTGTCCCATGGTCCTTCCCACTTGGCCTGCCCTTCTTAGTGCATCCCTCTAGTCAATCCTTACCTTGCCGCTCTCACGGTTCAAAGTCTTCAGTAGCTGCTTCTTTTCTTGCTCCTGCCTCTGACTGTCCACCCCAAAGGTGCACCCATTTTATAGGCATTCAGCCTCTCCTAGAAAGGTCATCATGTAGGAAGGGGCGGAAACTAGATATGCTGATAAGACAGGTGTGATGCAGTCTGCTTTCCCAAGTCAGCAGCTGCTCTTTGTTCTTGCTTTTGTTGGCATCTCCTTAGTTGTGTGAGAGCTGGTCTTTGGATGTCGAGGGAGGCACATCACAAAGAGCGTGTAATGTCCCTGGGGCCTTGGTGGTTCTTCCTGTTCTATATTCCAACTTGGGATATGGTGAAGCCCATGAATTGTTTTTGTCAATGTCTTCATGGTGTTTATTGTAAGGTCATTTACCTGACCCCTTCTTATTTTACAAGCCTTACAAGTCTTATCTAGTAGTCATTAGCGTGTTGGGTGACTCCAAGCAGCATCAAACTGGATAGATGCCCATGGCAGAGATTTAACATTCCTTTTATGATGCCACATAATGTCCTATGACAAACTCAGCACCCAATAATCAGCAGAAGTGCAGGCATCCATGATACAGGTATGGTGTCCCCTTGGTCATTATTTTGGTGATGGCCTTATGTCAAATACTTGTATCATGGATGACTGATACGAGGATCCTGCCATATGAAAAACCTCCTCATGAGTAAGGGGTTTGCTGGGATGGGTGGATTCTAGTGATAAAGTGAATTGATTGGAGTATGGCATTTGTCATGTGTGTTAAGCAAAGGTGTTATATAATTGTGTAGGAATTCTTTTTTCTTGTTATTTTTTGTTATTCTTTTTTGTTGTGTAATTATATAAGGCCTGGCAGGGATATGGATATTATATGTGCAATTGTATTCCCAGTTATCCTTATTTATTCTTTGAAATATTTTATATTTATACAATGTATTTTGATGATGTTCATTTACAACTACCCCCTTCTGACTCTCCCTGGTGCCCTTGCTTCCTCTCCTTCACAGCTTCACAGTTTCATTCTTTTGGTTATTTATATATGTTGAGTCTAATTAGCACTCTACATTGTTGGGTGGGCAACATATTGTAGCATCTGCAGAGGAGAGCAAATCCCCCTCAACTTTAGCTCATCCACTAAGGGCAGAAATTTGTTTGGCCCTGCTCCATCCATACTGGAATTTTGACTACTTTGATCTCCTGGAGGACTTTGCAGGTGAATACAGCTGGTAGGAATTAATATGTGCAGTAGACATGCTATTCCAGAAGCTAGCACTTCATAGTTCTTCCCATCCCTTAACATTGTTTCTGCCCACTCTTTCATGATGTCTGCTGAGACTTGTGTATTGCGAGATTATTGTATGTTACTTTACACAGGTGAAATCACAGTTACTTATACATCATACTTGTACCAGGTATGAGGTTGTATTAAGTGCTATCAAATGCAGGAGGAAGTGTCTTTGACTGAAATCAAATTGACAAACATCTGCATACATATTTAGCTGGTGGTTTGACAGCAGGTACCTTTACCAAATGAGTAGATTTCTTCTCTTGGTCCTATGATCTCCTCAGCCATTTTCTTTTTAGCTGTTTACAATATCAGACATGAAATCCCTCTGTGAAGCAGACCTCATATTCAATGAGAAAGCACTTGGTAATCCCCATAAGCAGCATTCCACTATTGCACAGTCTTGTGTGGATCAGTATTATAGCATGTAGCATCTAGTGTTAGGAGATACTTTTGATGTCTCTCACTCCCCTAGAATCTTTCCTAGCACCTTGTGTATTTATACATGCTACAAAGAAGGGAGAGATTTTCCTGGTCAATCGAGGTTGATTTCTCTGCATCCTGTATCTTTAGTAAGTGCTGATTTTGTAATAGGGTCTTGTTATCTAATTAGGGTACACACTTGTACTGTCTAATTTAATGTCAACTTGACACAGTTGAGACTAGGCATCAGAGAGGAGGAGCCTCAATTGTGAAAATGCTTCCCTAAGGTCCAGCTGTAAGGCATCTTCTTAATTAGTGAATAATGGTGGAAGGCCCAGCCCATAGTCAGTGATGCCATTCCTGGTTCACATGTCCTGGGTGCTATAAGAATGTAGACCCAGCAGACAATGGGGAAGTAAGTTAGCAAGTCCTCCTTGGCCTCTGCCTTCAGGTTCCTGCCCTGTTTGAGTTCCTGCCTTGACTTCTGTCTGTGATGGACTGCCACCTGGAAGTATAACCTGAAATAAGCTCTTTCCTCCCCAGGTTGCTTTGGTCATGGTGTTTTGTCACAGCAATGGAAACTCCAACTAATATAGCACCTAAGAGCAACATGTTTTGGGTACTTCTGGGACCTCCTCCACCTATAACTTGCAGGGTGATATCTTGTGCCTGGCATTGAGAATTTTTTGTGTGTAATAATCTGTGAATTTGGGAGTAATATTGTGTAACCATGAAGGGTAGTTTTGCTTCAGAATCACTCAAAAATGTATTTTCTAGCTGGGCATGGTGTCACATGCTTCTAAAACCAGCATTTGGGAGGCAGAGGCTGAAAGGTCTCTGAGTTCAATAACAGCCTGTTCTACAGAGTGAGTTCTATAATAGTCAGAGCTACATAGAGAAACTCTTTCTGAAAACTAAACAATAGCCACAAGAAAAAGGAGTTTTCTGATTGTCTTACCAACTAGTGGATTCATTATGATTTTTTTCATATAGCCTTGATTTGGGCTAATTTACCCCTACCCTTTAGTCTCCTCAATCCCCTTTAACCTCCTTTCATATAACCTGTGTTCTATGTCCTCTAATTAAAATTTTCTTCCTTGGTTTGGAAAAGCATATAGATTTTCATATAGCTTTGCATGTACTTGTCATTTTGTCAAGCCTCTGACCCCCTCAGTTTCTCACTCCTCATCCCCACTCATGCTTTCCTGATATTGTTTATACCCTGTGTCTCCTTGAGCGTGTTTATCCTCCTCTTCCATTGGAACGATTTCTTTCCATGTCCTCTGTAGAGCTGGTTTACTGGTCATAAATTCCTTTAATGTGGAAAGGTTTTATTTCTCCATTTAATGGGTAATTTTGCTGGGTATAATAGTCTGGTTTGGCAGTTGGGTCTTTTAGAGATTGAATATCTGTTTCTAGACATTTCTGGCCTTGAAGTTCCTACTAGATTATCGTTTGTTACTTTATTGAACCTGCCTTGGCAAGTCACATGACTTGATATGTATATTTTTTTTCTTAATTCTGTCTGTAGTGTTTTAATTACAGTATATTGTGGGAGTTTCTCTTCTGGTCCTGCCTATTTATTATCCTATGAATCTCTTGTACCTGGGTGGGCATCTCTTTGTTTCTATGCTTTGGAAATTTTCTTCCACGTTATTGTGAAAATATACTCCTTGGTGGGACTGGAGAGATGTCTAAATGTTTAAGAGCACTTGCTGCTGTTGGGGAAGACATGAATTTTCTTCCCAGCATCTACATCAGGCAGCTTACAGCCATGTGTAAGTTAGTTCCAGGGGATATAATACCCTCTCCTGTCCTCAGGGTTCCTCATGCATGCATGCTTTCATCCACACAGAAACATGTGCAGAAGGTAAAAAATGTCCACATAATAAATCTTAGCAAAATTTGAAAATATTCTCTGTGCCTTCAGTATGTTATTCTTCCTCTTCCACATCCATAACATAAGGTTATTTCTTTTTGTGGTGTCCAAAAGCTTTGCCATGTTCCACTGTAGACATTTAGAAGTTTACTATTGACCTTTAATGAATAATCCACTTCCTCTGTTTTATCTTCCATTTCTGACGTTCTTTTTCTACATGATCTATTTTGTTGGTGTGGATTTCCACTAAGGTTTTTATTTGGGTTTATTTCAGCATTGTGTTCTTTGTGAATTCTATTTTCCTATCTTGGATTGACTGCTCCCTCACTCAGCTCTTTGTTTTCATTGACTTCGAGTGTTCTCATAGCTTCTTTGACTTGTTTCAACACAGTAGTAATGGCGATTTTGAATTCATCGTTTGAAATTTCTAGGTCATTCTCACTTGGAATCATTATTGCACTCCAAAATTTCTGGGAAGGGGTGTGTTCCTGGTTTTGTTTTTCCTTCTGCGTTGTGGTGTGTGTGTGTGTGTGTGTGTGTGTGTGTGTGTGTGTGTGTGTGTTGTTTCTGTGCTGGAATTTTCCAATCTGAAGTAATTTGTTGATTTAGTTATTCTCTTTTGTTTAAGTAACCATTTTTCTTTCAGTGAGGATGGTCAGTGTTCAGAGAGGGTGGAGCCATGGTTTTCCATTTGTAGCACTAGTACTGGTGGGTTGACCTGGTGAAGTCTAGAGAGCTTCCCATAGGAGCCGGGTGGCCTAATGGGGTGTGAAGGAGCAAGCCTACCTATAGGAACAGGGATGCAAGATGCTGGTGGTGTGGACCATAGGGCAGGAAAGCGGCATTCTGGAGAAGCTTGATGTAAAGTCAAATGCCCTGCATGCACAGGGAGTTCAGTTCCCTGTGGAACCTGCAGCCTGTGGGGCAGGGAAGAATTGGCCTGTTTGAGTGATGGGGCAGAAAGGGGAAGGATGAGGATATTTTAAAGAGATTCTTATTTGTTCCTTTGGCTAGCAGATAGAAACATGGCCCTGCTGGGATTGGAAATGAGCCCTGGCATCCCAGTTTAGGAGCAGAAAGGTTGGAGCTCAGTGCTTTTCAGGGGAGGGGTGTGTCCTAGAAGGGATTTCACAGCAGAGGCCTCATCAGACCACCAACAGTAGAGATTGCAGGGGGACAGTGATGGGAGCAAGCATGTGCTGAGTAGGACTGCATAGCTGTACATAGCTCTGCCTTCTACTTACGTGAACTGCATGGCAGAACCCTAGAGAGGTCTTGATGGGGGACAGTGTGCCACTGGATCTCTTTGTCCTGCTTCCCACTTAGACTTATTGATTAAGTCTCCATTTTGTGATTTTCACAATCATTTGGCTTTTCATTGTCTTATTGAGAACTGGTGGCCCAAACCTGTCTTGTATGGGGCATAGGGTGTGACTCTAAATTCAGTAACAGAATGAGGTATGAA